CACCCTGCCCACGAGGGGAATTGTGTGGTACAGGTACTGTGCTGGTACAGGTGTGCCTCCTCCCAGCACACAGGTACCAACATCACACCTCAGCCCCACAGTCCCTTCTCTCACAGACACTACCAGAGCCCAGTGGTGGCTTTGCAAGTGACTACATGCCCTGCACTTGAGGTACAGAGCCTCATAAGTTTCCTCCACTTCAAATGTACATTGTTCTTCTTAAAATGAAAGGAAGATAAATGCCTAAGACCAGTCCCTTAAGGTAATGGCTGGCTGCACATTTCTGTAGACTCCTTTTCAAGCAGATCTCATTTTCTAGTCAGAGAGGAAAGCATCATTTTAACAAGCCATAAACACACACCCAGGCTGCAGCATCAAGTACTGTTGGCCTGTCTGGGCCCTGCATCACCACCTTGAATGTACAAGATGATGAAAACTTTAGTTAAAGCTACAAAAGACTTTCGATAGACTCTGCCCTGGGCTTGGAGTCCAAGCTGCATTAGAAAGTGTCTAGCCAGGAGATGCACATGGGAGACCCAAAGGGGACCCTCTGCTTAGCACCACTGAGATGCAGATGGATGCAATTTGAGGTCCTCTAGGAGAACACACGTCTTTCCAAGCTGAACAAGCAAAAGGAATTGGACTTATTCAGCCTGGAGAGAGGAAGGCTACGGAGGTACCCAACTGCAGTCAGCAACAGGCTGCCTAAATGGAAATTATTCTTAAAGAAGAAAAAACACAAATTCGTGTCCTGGATGAGGAGAGTGGACAGAGAAAAGAGAGGGGATGCTCCAGACGGTGAGAAGCTCTGCCATATCAGATGTAGAAAGAAGAGCACACACACTCATTGCTCCAGGCAAGTCAGCCATCAACAAGAAAGACTGAGGCACACTCAGCCTCTCTGCAAGAGGCTCATTCTTAAGGAAATCCAACAACCAATCTGCTGTCCCTTCAGGGAACTGAAACTTCTCCAAGGAAGATCTAGGCTTCCTCCCAACAAGCAGCTGTTAATCTAAGACATCCTGAAATTCATATTTGAAGGAAACATCTGGAAGAAAGGATTTTGGAGCTATCAAAGCACATGACTTGTGACTCTTGCAGTGACATACCAGCCATGCAGAACATGTAACACTATCTGCAGCTACCGTCACCACCCAACCCCTGCAGCAGGGAAGTTCAATAGGCCATGGGCAAGACCTACTGACGGTACAGCTTCACTCCCATGGATATCCTCATGTCAGAGCTGACATTCCCATCCTTGACAGCTCCACAGCAAACACCTTGTTGTCATGCACACACTAGGGAAGGCTCCTTGCGCTCAAGCTAAGTAACCTGTCCCTTTGTCCACTAGTGCTGAGGAAAGTCTCACACTGCTTGCACTCTCCTCAGTCTTCTCAGCTCACCCAGCTCCTAACCCAATATCCAGAAACTCCTCTATCTCCTGGCTCTCCTCTTGTCAATAGCCCTGCAGCCCGCAAGCCACACAACTCAATACTGGTGCTCACCAAGTGGTCTTTCTCATCAGCAAATAGCCTGGATGTTTGGTGACCAGGCCAAGATCTAACAAAGCCCAAACACAAAGCATCCCAGCTGTATCTCCCCCACTTCACATATTTTTAAGACACGCTTGTAAACACAGTTATGTGTTCTCCTATTTGGGGTGAGGTTGTCTCATGCACCTGGCATGCACTGAGTTGCTTAATTACTAATCCCTGTGAAAAGCATGTGGGCACACTTGAGTCATTAGTGACACTCTGCTCTCAGTTCCTGCTCTGTAACTTGAACCCTTCCACTTGGAAGCTTCATAGCCACCACAGTCTGCTCTGGAAACTGATCCTGGGTTTCTTTCCTGAGTTTCTCTTAGCCCTCGTATGGACACCTCTGTTTCTGTGGAACACTCTGGTTTTGCATGGTGAACACTGGAGCAGAAAGGCTCCTGTCTTGCACTGAGCAGTGCCTCAGATCCTCAGGCGGGCAATGGCCATGTCCTGTGAAGCAGCCCTGCCAGAGAGCCAGAGCCAAAGCACAGAGTGCTGCTAGCGACACACGAATGCCTGCACATCCCAAGCCCACCCTGCTGCTAGTGCGGCTGAAGCACAGGGAACGGCAGGGAGCTGCCCCACCAAGGTGCAGCTGATCAGCCCCAGACAGGCCGATGCTCAATTAACACCGAAGCCAAATGGGCACTGTGTCAGCAGCAGTGAGTGTGCAGTGAACAATGTGCACCAAGCCTGAGTGAGGCATTAACAGAGGAGAGACCCTCACACCATCATGCAAGGCCTGCAGAAGCAAAGAAACCAGCTCCAGCTGGGAGAGCTACCAAGCTGCACAGAGCCTGCATGGGAGAGAGCTCTGAGGGAGCACACTGCTACCTTGCCTCCAAGCTTTCCCCAGGCTGCTCCCAGTCAGAGTGTCCTGGGATGTACAGACTTTGGTCTGACCCAGGATAACCTCTGTTATGTGTTTATCTCATTCACCATGAACAAGTGGGAAGAATTCCCTCCAAGGAGGGTGATGCAGCTCTAAGGCAAGGCTTCAGGAAGGGGGGGAATCTCCATCTTTGGGGATTTGCAGACACAGGCCATATGAAGCCAGAACCTCCCTATCTGAGGGGGGGTCTGCTGGGAGCTGGGGGTGGGCTGGAGAGCCACAGAGCCTCCCGTGATGCTGCCTCCGCGTGCCAAGAACATGGGGCCATTTAGCACCACGGAGTCACGGAACACAACTTTCTGTCCTGTCTCTCCCAAGAGCCTGGTCAAGGCTTCACTTTTATCAAGTGAAGACATTTTGTCTACAGGTGTCCACCTGATCAAAGGAGTGAGTCTTGCTAGCTCATGACGTGCAAATGACTGTCAGCTATTGAGGAAAAAAATCAGAAGGCAGATCACAGTTTCCTTCCCCCTAGCTGTGCTTTCACGAAAACTCCACACACCTGAAAAACAGCGAAGCAGCACACAGAAAAGCACAACAATTCACCTGCAAACACTACATTTAGTAGCACATTGCTCTGGGGAATAGGAGCTACACATCTGGCAACAGAGGACTGGTGCTTCTTACAAAAGGTTAATTCAGGATCTTTTGTACAGATAAATCAAATGATCCTTTGGGTGAATGAAAGTGAAACTTGAGGAAAGAAAGTCAGTAGTGAGATAGACCAGACTGTTCCCATATCTGTTTGGCTTTCCCAAATACAGTAAGGGTGTGGGGGGGAAGCAACATATTTCCAATATTATGCAAAACCACAGTATCTGGAGAAAAGGCAGCAGACCATCAGAGCTGAGAAGTGTGTGAAGAACAAGATGAGTCAGGCTGGGAAACAATGCAGCGCTGAAGGAGGGGTGGGGGAAGAGCCCTGACAGGGGGAAAACAGAGACTTTGAAATGAGAAGCAGTGAGCCTGTGAGGCAGTGTGCTGGTTGGAATACCCAGCCGTGTGTACATTAGGGCAACAGGTACAGACACTGTCAGGAGGCAGCGCTGCAAAAGGAATCTGGCTTTACAGTGTGAGCAAGACGGTGCTTGGCTTCCATGTTGTAGCCCAGCTCTTCCTTTCAAGAGGGCAAAAGAGCTCACTACTATGACCTGAAGCAGGGGTTCCATGCCCAAAAAGCTTGTCCAGTATTTGCTCTGAGAAAAGGTGCCACCTCTCAGCACAAATCTGGACGAGAAACGAGGAAATCACTCTTTACTGCTGCATGATCTGGCAGTTCACACATAAGAAAGGGATTAAAAAACAAATCAAACCACTTAAAACCAACTTCAGTCACATGGCTGAGCACCCTTGTTGGGCTCAAGGCCCAACATCCAAGGAAAGATGTAAAGCAAGTAGGAAGGACCTCCACATAAGGGGAGAGCAGCTGGCTCTGAAGGGAGGCAGAGGGCTATGGATTCTGCCCAACAAACCATGCATGACTATTTAAAAAGCAGAGGGCAACAGATGAGCACAGAGTGAGGGCAGAAGCTGTGTCCATCTGAATAAAGAAAGGTTATCTTTAGGACAGGCAATGCTTTTCAAGGCAGTGACTATCTCAAGCTGGAGAAAGCAGGGCCAAAGCAAATACGACAAACGGCCCCAAGGAACCTTCCCCCCATGCTAATTTCCACTTTTCCCTTACAAAAGCAGCACAGCTTTCTAGCGATTCATTGTCTGGAAAACCATCTCCTAGAAGAGCTCCCTGGATTACAAGCGCAAGCAAAACCAGTAAAGAAGAGCTCTCGGTGCCCTCTGCAAGCCGCTCAGCGCCGTGCCAGCACTCCCGATCCCCGCCGGGATTTGCCGCGGACACGCGTGAGCGCCGCCGGCTGCCTGCCTGCCTGCCATCCATCCATCCGTCCGTCCGTCCGTCCATGCCAGCGCCTCCGCCGCGGGCCTCCGCCCGCCCGCCCGCCGGGGGCCCGGCCGCTCCGAGCCCGGGGATCCCCGGCTGCCCGAGCCCCGGACACCGCCTGCCCGAGCCCCGGGAATCCCCGCCTGCCCGAACCCGGGATCCCCGGCAGCCGCACGCCCGCCGCCGGCTCCGCGCACCCCGGCTCCGCGCTCCCACCTGCGGGCACGGCTCCTGGCAGGCAGGCGAGTGTGCCGCAGGCAGGCAGGCAGGCAGGCAGGCACGGCGACCCAGCGCCCCAGCCGTTCCCTTTCCTGCGCTGCCCGCAGCGCAGCGGCGCCCGCTATTTCTGTCGAGCCGGGGGCGCCCGGTGCCCGCCAAATGTTGTGCCCCGATACGGGCCGGGCCCGCCGCCCCTTCGCTCGCTTACCGCACCCGTGCGCCGAGCCGTGCCGTGCCGTGCCGTGTCGTGCCGTGCGGTGCCGTGCCGAGCCGAGCCCGGGCGGCTCGTCCTGGCCGCGCCGGCTCCGCCGCTGCCGGGGGCGGGGGTCCGGGCCGGCCGCGGCCCCGGGGCCGGCCGTCACTCAGCGGGGGCCGGCCCCGCCGCCCCTCCCGGCCCAGAACAGCTGCGCCCGGCCCGGCCCCCGCCCCGGGCCCCGGCTGGGTCGGCCCTTACCCTCCGCCGCGCTCGGGATGGCAAGCGCGCTCCTTCCATCCCCGGGGCAGCTGCGGGGCGCTGCGGAGGGTGGCGGCAAGAGCAGCATTTGTTTCCAGAGGGTCTTTCCTGCTTTTTAACGAGTCAGACACGCTGGAGTTTGTCTTTCGTCCCGTGGCAACGTCCTTCATTCGGAGTGCCGAGCCAGATGCTTCGGCTTTTTGGGAAGCCCCACAAGATATACACGCGTCTTCTTGGGGATCCAGGACACTGTAAAGCACCCTGAGACTGCGGCTGGAAAAACTACTCCTTCTCGAGAGGAGTGGTGCAGCACTGGGCCAGGGAGAGCAGGGAGGCCTCAAGGCTCAGCCAGACCGAGTCGTGGCCACTCAGGCTGGATGGCCCCACTACCAGCACTGCCGGGGACCTGTAGCTGCAGTCATGGGCACTTTATAAAAGCTACTTCCCCACAAATGCCACCTGTGTCAATGCACCCACTAATCCCGTGCCTTACTTTACTCCCTGTGAGCTTGCCCCACATGCCCAGTGACAGCCACTAGAGCTGCTCCAAGTCTGCAGTCAGCCCAGGAGAGCTGCCTTCCAGTCTTGTGGTATCAAGTTTTAACATTGCTGCCAAATCTCCTTTCCCCTATGTCACCTTCGTCACCCTATGTCACCTTTTGTCACCTATCCACTTCAAAGCCCCATGGATTTGTCCTTTAATGATTTTTTTACCAAATCTCCCACAAAGTGTCAGCCCCAAGCTCCTCCTTAGCTCTGCTGTCTGGTCTCCACCAGCAGCCACAAGACAAGAGTGGAGAGGTTTACCAGAGGTGGCCAGTCCATGTGAATGGTTCTCCAGCCCCACACTTCCCAGACCTAGTGATGACCTTCATCTGAAAATGTCCCCAGTTGCCTCGAGTTAGTACTTGGCTGTTTTTTTTGCACGACCTGCCTGGCACTGGCATTCCATGTCCTGTGGCATTTGAAGGAAGAACTGTAGTTAGCTCTGGAAGTGCTGCTCCCAGCTAGGACAAAGGAAGGATACAAAGGCCTGTGCCAAGCAGGGCATGTCTCACTGAGGTGAGCAGGCCCAAGTCACTGGCATCATCCCAGCTGCTGGCAGGAGAGAAGAGGCTGCTTAGAACCACTCAGTTCACTCAAATGCCTGTTTGTCCAGGCTGAAGAAGCCTGACAGGCAAGATCAGACAAACCTGGATGCCAGTTTCCCTGCCACCTGTTTACCAAGTGCCTTCCTCCAGGGCGTGCAAGCCGGGAGAAGCTCAGGAAGCGATCCACTGGCACCTCTGAGCTCCCATATATGCCCGCATTGGTTTGGCACTCAGAGATACATTTGATCTGGCTGCTGTCAGGTGTAGCCTTGTGGGCACCAGAAACTTATCTGAGGTGTCTTGGTCCCCTTAGAATGCCGTCACCTGTCTCCATCAGGCAAGACACAGACCCAGCTTCTCAGCACATTTGTTTTCAGTGCATCCCTGGTAGCTCTTTCTTAGCAGTTTGCTGTGACACACTGAGGTAAGGAATGCTGCAGGTAACATACACTGCAGCACTTTTCACAAGACACCAAGTTTCACTAACCCAACCACACCAGGGCTCTCAAGGAAGTGGCTTGGCCTGCTTGAAGCATGTCCACTCAGGCCCAAGCTCTTCTTGCCCTGGCCAAGGTCTAACTTCACAGAGCAGCACAATTCTCCTGTTCAAGAATTCCAGTCCAACCTGAAAACATCAGCAAAGAGCAAAAGAACAAAAAATGGAGCTTTCAGGCTTTATGAAGGTTTAAAGTGATGTTTTTTTCATGGCATGATTTTCCTTCACTTTTCTCGTCTAACACAGACAGCACCTGAGAATCCAGGCTCTCAATTAAATTAAACATAACTAATTATTAGGTTTGCCTGATGCAAAACTGTGAGGACAAAGGATGAGTGTGGTGAAAACACAGAGACAAAAGATCTTTGCAACAAAAGTCTTCCCAAATGGGGGATGTAGTCCAGGATTGGAAACCCTAGGGATAAGAATTCATTTTGAGATGGCAAAGAAGGTTCTCATGTTTCTCTGACAAAACAAGAGTTCCTTAGAATGACTGGAGTGAACACACTGGGAGATGAAAACAGGTAAACTTAAACTTTGTCAAGTGAACAAAATACAGCTGAGATTGAATAAACAGAAAAGAGGAGGTTTGCAAGTGCTTACTGTTCACAGCCTTGGGTAAGTAAGACACCTGCTTTGTTTGTTTTAGTTATCACAGCATCATCTGTTTTCTCTAGCTAATCAAGGATCATTTTTCATTTTTTAAAATTCACAATGATCCACAAGACATGTTTAACAAAGCTGCATTCTCTTTCTCTGGTTGTAAAGTTGTGGGGTGGGGTCCCAAGAACTAGATATTGCAAATCCACATTCCAAGGGATGATCAGCTGGGCTTCTGCACATACATCCTATTTGGTTTTGGCATTAATAGTGAAACTGGAGTTCCAGTGAATTCCCTGGCTGTGCCCCTTTCTTCCTGCAACTAAAGCTTTTACATGCCTTGTTTTATCTACACATAAAAATACTTATCAGTGAAAACTTTCTAAAGTGTTCTCCTCCTTAGCCTTCTTCCATCCAGACAAACTGCAAATCCTACTATTTAAACCAGACTTTCTAGATGTTGTTGCTTTCATCTGGATTCTCTGTGATTAATCCACATCTTTCCTGGAGGACAGTGCCCAGAACTGCATGGAGGGTTCCAGTGGAAGCCTTTCTAATAGCTGTCAGAATGGAAAGTAACTCCACCACCTCTTGATTTAGACACTGGCTGTGGATGCAGCCCTAGTCAAGTGTCATGCATTCATGAAAGCAGAAAAACCATTCACAACCACCCGCAACACTGACTGCTGAGAAACTGAAGAACCGCGCAGCATTCTGTGTGCATCGGCACCTTCCACAGAGCAGGCATGTCTAGTACCTCCTGGGGACAGCAGGCTAACTAATTATTATGCTATTTCATGGCTTGGAAACTCAGCAATCTCGAACTGTTCAATACTGTGTGTGGCCAACATGCTCTGTATGTTCTTGAAAGCAGAGCATGCAATGTGTCAAAGAGCACTAGCAGGTCAACTAGCAAATGTCTGATGGGATCTTACATGGGGTAAGAGAGCAACACTACAAGCAGGTGTAAAATCATAGTTCTGCACAAGGAGAGAGCAGTAGTACCTGTATTGTAATGGATTAGTAGTGGGGCTGCTGAAGGCAGGGGTGGTACTGTATCCTGGGAATGAAGATGGAGAGACACGTCAGTGCAGCCCCTCTGGATACAGCATATGAACAGAATTCAGAGTGTCGTAACTTTGGGTTGGGTGTACGCTCTGTGCATGCACAAAACAATTCACCAGGTGAACAGCGGTGCCCGAGGGTTTGCTGATCAGTTAAGACTGCAGTTTGTTTTACTAACACACAAAGCAGCCTCTAGGAACTCCAGCACTGAGCTGCACAGATGCATGGGACTGTAGGACTGTGTCCTTGCTTTGACCTGGGCTTTTTAGCCACCAACAACCAAGGAAAGGGTAAGGCATATTTCAGAAGGGGCAGACAAGTTTGGAAATCATCTTCAGTCTCTTGAACATCTGCCAGGATGTGTCCTCTAATACTACAAGTGAAGAGTCACAAACTGCCTCATCAGTACAGAGGTGCACATAAACTTCTGACAAAGAGCAGATCCTCAAGCCTTAACGGATACAAATACAGCCCAGGTATTTCTCCTGAAACTAAAATAGTTCCAGCGAAATTCTCTATTGCCATAAAAATGGCTTGTAGCCATTAGACTTCACAATTGGGAAGGTGAGATGTGGTCTTACATAGGAAATCTCTCTTCAGGAACTCAGGGGAGTGCTTCTCATTCTACTGTCCTACATCATTGAAATTTTCCAACTCAGAACTCATCCTAAACAGAGGGAGATTTGCATTCAAGTTTATCTTACAGTAGCTCATCACCACATGGTTTCCTCTACTTGCATTCTTCACCTTCTCTGCCATGGCAGCTGAAGAAGTTGATTAATATGGAAAACTAATTACTATCTTCATTGTTAATACTACCTCTCTGAAGTACACTTAGAAGTGTCAGCCTCAGCACACTTAAACATGGAGAGGACCATGTTAAGTAGCAATTTGCATTAGAGTAGCAGTTTGCTGGTTTATCACTGCCCTAGTAAGGGCTCTGCTACACCCAGCATACATCCAGACAGAGAGACATGCACCAGACTTCCCAGAGGACTCCTTGCTGCTTAGCTCAGACCTTCTCCAGACCACCACCAGAATTAGACTAAGGAGTGCAAATGTAAGCTTGGTTGCTCAGACTATTTGCATGCATTTTCTCTCTCCCACCCTACTATTACACATGCATGGAACCTTTCAGTCTTGTTTCCCTTTCTGTCCAATCTCCTGTACTTCTGCAAACAGCCTTATAGCAGAATTTCTTAGCTTGGCTTGTGTCCTACTAGAAATACTACACAGCTGTGCACAGCAGAAAAAAATCCCATTTCTGGCATTCCTCGTGTAAAGCTTTAATATTGTGTTTAACAATCTTGAGGGACAAGCAAATTTAAATTGAGACAGCAGACTATGAAATATAATCATGTCTACACCTCCTCTAAATATTTCTAAGACCAAAAATAAAGCAGGTTCTAAAGTAGGCTGAAAATACTGTGTTCCAAGGACTCCAAGCATCCATCTGTGTGCTTACAGGACACTGCTTTCTCCTGTCCCCAGGAAGCAGAAGTCCTCTGAAGAGTCTCAGAAGCGTACATGAAATCAAGCTATCAAAAAATGAGGGAAAGGAATGCTTTGAATTTAGCAGCTGGTCAAAGACGTGGGGTGAGGAGGGGAGCAGAGAATTCAGGAAAGTGGTATCACTGCTAAGAACAGCAAACAGAGCAGTAAGTACACAAAGTGAACAGCTGTCTGTGAATGTTCCACCCCACAAATGCAGTATGCCAAACAAGGCACTATTCAAAGCTTACCAAGCTAAGGAAAAAGGAAAAACTCAACAATAATGCACGTCTCTGACAATAAATTCAGAAATATAAAACACTTGTTAAAGGAAGGACTGCCCTGTAATGACTGAGTAGTAGCTATGAGATAAAAATCCCTCCAAAATTAGGGAATGATCACAAGAACACAATTGAACATTGTTTTATTGATAAATAACTTTTAAAATAATTTAACTCAAATATTCTAGCATTAAAATGGTAAACAACGTTAAAATTTTCAGAAAGTCAACTGAAGTCAACAGAATCCAAACTTGTTAAACAAACACAGATTTTTCAATTTTATCCCCATTATGTCTTCAAGGCCATGTAGTAGTTATACTTCTCTTCAAAGCCTGTTACTCATTTTATTGCTAAGCTGCTACATTGCAGAAGTGATGATTAATCACCCTTTGAAAATTCCACAAGACTCTGAGACACAAAATCATGAATCCATGTATCAATATGTGGAAGAGATGTGTCCACAAGAAAAGTCACTATTTTTCGATCCCAAGAGTTAGTGCTGTCATTAACTGCCTGTATCTGTGCCACAAAAGGTTTCTTCTCTACCAGATTCCGAAACACTATTGATGCCTCTTCTGACCACTGCTGGTTTTTCACTCCTAGAACAAACATAAAGCAAAACAGAAGGTCATTTATAGACTAGAACAATCTAAGTTTAAAAGAAGTGGTGTGAGTTTAAATACTTGAGAAAACAGTTTTTAAAGTGCTAATGCATGCAACTTAAATCTACGAAAAAAACCACAAGCTTACTCATCTCCCACACCAACAAGCTTAATTATTACATTTATTTTTTCTTGAAGTTTAAAGATAATGATGTGTTTGCAGAAGTGAAAGGCAGATGCACTGACTCACTGAAGAATTCAGAGAATATCAGCTGCCTTGCATGACCAGGGCTTATCAGGAACCATGACAAAAAGGAAACTTAAGATCCTTTCAAAACAAACTTCCTTTATTTTCAGCCTGAGGGTGCTGACATTACTTGTCCCATTGGCCTTGCTTTAGATTTTCTTCATCTCAAAGCAGCATCAGTTATTAAAACACCTGCCAAACCTTCAAGTCCCAAACAAGACATATAGAGGGCAGAAACAAAGAGAAATTACGCCTAAATGCCTCACAATTGTTCTTACTTTTTTCAGAGTGGTATCCCACAAAGTCAAGTCTGCTGGAACCTAACAGATTTTTGAATATGGCTGCAATCCACCTAGAAATAAGCAGCTCCTGCAGACTTGGGATTCAGTTGCCCAGACCACTGCTGGTGTACGGCATCTAGACATACGGGCTCAAATATCATGGTGGAATACCCAAGAGCCACTTGATGGATAACACAAGCAGAACAGCAAAATGACAATACTTTGCTTTTATTATTAGCAGCAGCTCAGCAGCTTGCCACTGACAGGACAACACAGGAACACAGCTGCCTGCAGATTGCAAAAGGAATTAAAAGTCAATAGTTAATCAACACTTAAGGAAGAGTAACTAATGCTATGAAAGCTTTATGCAAATGGAAAAGCAAATGGGACTTTTCAAGGAAACAGATTAGTGACTAAGAGGCATAAGACACAAAAGCAGAGAGAAAAAAGTGGAGGAATAGCAGGACAATAGTTACTGATCTTCCAGGCTCAGCTGGCCTGCTTTGACAATATGAAGAATCTCAGAGGCAATTTAGCTAGCTACTTGGGAGACTCAGTGAAGCAGGAAAAGTGGATGACTTGCAGGCTTGCTGGGCTGGATCCTTCAGAAGACAGACCCAGCTAGAAATCAGCCACATCACAGCACTGCACGCCAAGGACCCCAGCCTGTCGGTAGCACATCCACCACACAGCACTAGTTTAAAACACCCCCAAGGTCACACTGAGGCTATGCAGGAAAGCAAATCCACAGAAGGCACAGGACACTAACTCTGTCACCTGTCACTTCCAACAAGCATATTCTGTGACTGAAATCTAGAGCAGTGCTGACCAAACAGCATCAGCAAGCAACATGACTAAGATGAGACGTATACATCCCAAGACAACACAGAACTGAAGGAAAAATTTTGAAGTGAAAGAAAAGTCAGCAAGGAGAGATCAATTGTTATTTTTGAAATTCTCTCAGATGCATGTACACTCTCTATGTGCCATATTCTCAAGGAAATTTTTGTATGTAAGCTTATTGAAAGCTCTGTCCCCTCATGGAGATCTTTGCTTGTTTGAGAAAACCAATATATTTTAGACAACTCTGGATTCCAAATCAGCACTGGAATTACAATAGGGTCAAGATATATATATAAAAAATACTCTAGAAATTCAACATCTAGGGTCCTAACTTTATGTAAACTATGATAATCAGAACATTAGGTTCTTACCAACAGTCACATCATAACTTTCACACTTGGTAATTGGCTGTGTTAAAGGATCAAAAAAACATTAAGTTTTTATTTCCCCATGTCTTTTGCATAGTAGATATCACACGCATCAAATTAAAAATTTTATGACCATGAAAAGCAGCTGCTGGGAAAGTTTAAAGAATCTCCATTCTCAAAGATGGTATCTTAAAGTGCTGCATTAAATTAAACAAACAAAAATAATTAAACAGAATCATCACTGCCTATGCCAAGAAAAAAAGCAGGACATAAACATGTAGAAAAAACTCAATTACATAATCTTTGACTTTTTTCCATTTAACGTTTCTGTTCACCTCATATGCCCACTGATGTAAGACTTTAACAAAAACAATTGCAAATGCTTGATACCTACCTGCAAGCTGAGCTGTGATAGCTTGGAAAGGTAGTCTTCTGAACGTATCCAGGAGTGGCTGTACTTTCCCTACGCTGACAAACTCATGTTTGCCATAGTCCAGCTCATACACTGACAAAAACCCATTTCTAAGAATCCCTTTTATTATGACCCTGTACCACCTAAAAGGGGGAAGAACAAGAATAGACCATTTGAATTCATATTCACACACTGTCAAAGCACCAGAAAAACAATGCACAACCAAAAAATCTTGACCAACATGCCTCAGGCTTCCCAAACCTGGATTTAGCTGAATAATACCAACTATCCCAGCTACAATCTGGAAGCATGAAGAGACTGCAATCTCATTTACTCTCTTAATCTCTCAGATATCATTGGACATCTGCTACGTTTTTAACAATGCAGACTAAGTAAAGCTAGGCTTGCCTAGCTTAGCAGAGTTAAGCTTGCTTTCAAAGATTTTAAGTAATTTAAGTATCTACTTACTCATCTCCAATTTTAGCTGCATACAGCTTATTTTTTTCAATGGTCACAGGTTTCTCTTCTGCCCTGCTGTAGTACAAGATCATTTCTTCCATTAGGGCATACAGATTGTTTAGCTCATTCCAAGGCTGGACAACGAAATGACCGGGATGGCAGGCCACCGAGACGTAGATATCCATGAGGTCACCAGGCTTTGGCAAGGGTAGAGGGGGCGGCATCTCCATGCTGGACACTGCACTGCTGGGCTCTCTGCCTGAATCAGGGAAACTCTTCTCCAGCTTCCCACTAGGTAACTGTAGAGCTGGAACAGCATCACCTACAGCTTTTGTGAAGCCGGTCCCACTGGGAGCCACACTCAAGAAAACATCTTTTTGATGCTTCCACAAGTCTGCATTTTTGATCTGCCTATTGATGCTACGATCCATGTCTGGGAAATTCTCTGGAGCAAACAAGTAGATGTGTGCAATTCCTTTTGAAGCATCCTGTTTAATCACCTTGGAACACAAAATACCGTTTAACAACCAGTTAGTAACTATTAAAGGCACATCTGATTTTGTACAGAACTTTTGTAAAGCAGCAACAATTCATTGCACTTACATACAGAACCAGTTTCAGTGTTCTCCCAAAGATATGAAAGAAGTTGGGGCTAATAAGCTGTTCACAGCAGATGAAAAGACAAAAAACACCTGCAGCAATTCCACTAACTTAAAGCAAACACAAAACTTGAATTTTGTTCCATCCAACAGGTTCAATCACAGTACTGTGTGTAGAATTCTTGCTTCCAGAAGAACAGTAGCCAGTGTCCACACAGATCTAAACAACTTATTAAATAATAACACCTAATCCTTTAAGCTATCCTGCAGTCATTATGGAAAATGAGGCCTGCTAAATTAGATTAAAAAAAAAACCCAAAAAAATCTTCTAGGTTTCTCTCACATGTAATTTTCAAGCACTGACAAAAAAATACTTCCTATTTACCATCAGATATGCTAACATTATTAATAGTAAAGCACTTAAATTTTAATTTGACAAAGTACGCAACATTCTTTTAAAGATGCTTCTGCTAATGTTCCCAGCCAGGAATAAAAACTTTCTGAAATTAAAGCATGAATCTGCTCTCTATTATTTAACACAGCAAAAATGAGCACCAAATTCAAGCTCTTTTGGAAGAGGATGTCTAGAAAAGCCAGGTGCAACAGGTATATATCTCAGAGCAGAGGTCTAGACTAAAGCAAGCAAGAAGGTTATGGAAAGCTATAAAGCACTTTTTCAAAGTGTCTGACAGCAGCTGTAATCAAAAGGTTAAGAAGAAATTATCTTTGTTTAGTCTGTAGTTATAATAGATTTCATTTATAAGGGTATTTTCAGTAAGTTAAACTAAGTGAATATTGCAAATGCAAACAATTTTATCTCAAAGGTAAGAGAAATTTTAACTATATAAAGCATATACTAAAACAAAGTCAATTAGAAAAAGCAAATAAAAAATAAAACCGCTTTCAAAGAAACTAGAAGGAGAAAAAGCTTTGCTCACAAGAGGCATAAAAGTAATTCAAGATTAACTGAGAAGTTGCGTATTTCTATGTGCTGAAACATGACAACTACGTTTCTTTCTTATCAGTGGTGAAATAACTCTAGCTGCATATTTGGACTTGGACAGCAAAACGAACAACTGCTGTGAAAATTGCTAAATTCACAGCAGAGGGGAAAAGACAAGATTCTAACAGGCCTAAGCAAGTAAGTTTTATAATAAATTTACTAAGAAAAGAACTTTGTATAGAATTTATGTCCTTTAGCTGGATACAAACTTCTACACTTCTGTAACAAAAAACAATTTGATGGGCTGTTAAGCTTTTGAAGCTGTTCTTTCAATGCTCTTTCCTAATGCCTATGCGAGTTCAGGTCTCATAGGCATTTTGACTACTTACCTTCATGCTAAATTCAGGACAATTTATTACAGCATCTCTCAGCCACAGTACAGCATCTGGAGTCCACATGCCAGTGTTAGGAGGCAGATCTGCCAGACAGCACTTCAAAGCCTAACAACAGAATTGAGTGTACAAGGTATAATTTAGTAATACGAAAGCTGGTCCAATTCAGAGAATAATGCTGACAGAGTCAATTATGCATGACAAACAGAAAGAGCAAAACGCAAATCCAGTACCATGACACATGCACAACACCCACCAACTCACAGGACTACACTGCAGTTTATTTCAGGTGAAGATGCACAATAAAATACACTACAATGTTGAATGCTGCGAAACAAAACAGAATTTTAGTACATAAACCTTGAAATAGCAGCACTACTAACACTGCCAAGAGATTGAATACAGGTTAACTTTAACATGTCTTCGTACCTGAGGAGGTATTGCAATTACTTCTCTCAGGAATTGTCGTGGGATTTCTTTGAGCTCTGATACTTTTACAGTTGCAACTGTTCCACTATCCATAAATTGCACATCAAGTGCCCGTCTAGTGTGAATAATTTTTATCTGAAAGAAGAAAGCAAGAGTACAATTTTGAGGTTAAAAAACCAACAGTGGCACACACATAATAGAATATTTCATGGAAACTAAACATTCAGAGTGAGTTGAACAAAAAGAAGAGACATTTCTATGTGGGCAAATTCTAGCTGCTTTTTGAATACTTCTTACCTCTACACGTGCCAATTTTCCTTTGGAAGGAAACAAGCAGATTTTGCCACAGAAAGGTAGCAATACATTGAACTCAGATGTCTGCTGCAAATACAAAAACAGGAGTCAAAAAGCACAGAGCTATTACTATCTGGCACTCAATTAACCACTTCAAAAGCAACACATGGCATAAACAGTACTGAGAAGCAAAAGCTCTGTTTCAAATAAAAAAGTATCTTTCTGGCTTTAGAAACACTTCTTATCACATTGCTTTAAGCTTCCCCAGTTGGTAGACCTTTTCATCCCAAACTCTGTGTCTTACAGGGAAATTGGTAGAACATGAAGTGATGGGGTAAAAAGCCACATTGGGCAACAGACTAGGAAATCACCAACAATTACTTGGCTTGAAAAGTGAGAGCAGTTAAGAGCTATGAGAGATAAGCTCAAGTGAAGAAGCTCCTAGCTTATATTCTAGAACATACAATTTCTTGAGACATATAACAAACCAAATTTACTGCTAACTCAAATGGAAGTCTCATAGGGGTGACAGGCACCATGATAATCCTAAATAACAAAACAAGAAAACAGCTACACTATAAAAAAGTAGGGAAACTACATTTGAAGAACAATCAACATCTTACTAGGTTTAAATTCTTGGGCAAAATGAGTTAAAACACTCCAGATAAGCTGCAAAGCCTGGTATTAAAAGAAGCTGAAGAACAATCTCTTTCTCTGATAGCAGCAAGAAAATAACAACTACTCTCTCCCAAGAACACCAACTCTTGAAACACCTATATGGCTGCCTTCCTTAGTGTCTTTGTGTTGCTAAATATTTTAGCAACTTTTAGCAACTTGTGCTGCTAAACTTTAGCAACTTTAGCAAAATATTTCTACACTTTCTTTCAGTGTTTAGCTTGCTTGAAACTGAATCCTGATAAATGAAATGCGTTCAGTATAAAATAGTACCAGGTGGTTGCGACATCAGGTCTAAAGCTTAACTTCTACACCTCAAACACTTTGACAGCATAGTTTCACAAGCAGCAGTTCCAACAGGATCTGCTTTGTATGATTTGATTTTGTCAGGCTCAGCAGAACTACAAAATTGATTATCCAAATTCTTACAAATTAGATCCTCGTAAGATTTTTTCTCTTTGACCTAAATTCCCTTGAGACTAGTAAGGATGCTGCATGAATCTGTAAACATGGTGGAACATCTTCGCCATGCTGACTTCGCCATCACGTGCCTATTTTAAAGCAACTTAAGACTTTTCAAAAAGTCCCCTATACATCACTTTGACGTTGAAAAGAAAGCATCAAAAGACACTTTTCACACTGAAAGGTGCACCCCAGAAAACCCCAAACTAGAAAGAGAACTTTTAGCCTTTTTGAATAGTCTATGGCTACCACAGAAACTTGAACTTATGTGCAAGGAAAATTATCGGTACTCTCTGGAGAAATGCTGATGACTTTATCACTTCCCTTACCGTAGAACTTACCTTGTAAGTAAAGTAGTCTTCTAGTTTCTGCAATATTTCAGAAAGTCTAGACAAGCCTTTGGATGGCACTTGACAATACAGGCTCCCATCAGAGGAAACACTGGTTACTCTGACATTGGTATATAGCGTATCTGCCTGCAACAGTAAGAGTGTGACAAGAAAGGGAAAAAAAACCACCCACAAAATTTAGCAAATTTCTGACTACTGTTTTTTGTCCATATAAGACCTCAACAGTCAATGATTTTTAATAATTAAGGAGGAAACAGGGCAATGGTACCTGTAGGTGCAGTTCAAGGGACTTGTCATACAATGCCTTCAGACAAGTAGCATTGATGTTGATATCATCTTCTCCAGAAGTGTCATAGAGAACAAGAAGAGGAGTATCACTCTTTTCCAGTATTTCCACAGCAAATATCTTGAAACATGTCTGTGATTCCACAGCCTTTACTAGGACAGGATCATCACAGAAGGCTTCCAGTCCTGCAAGACACACCAGACCTTTTTGTGTACCAAAGTTTTACAGCACCCTTACTACTTGCAATCTACTTAATTTCTAGCTTTTTATCAAAGAAAGCCACCTTTGGGGGCAGAATAGAAAAGAAAAAGACCATCTTCAGAAAGAGCTGAGGCAAATGTGTAGAAAAAAATGGAAAACATGTCAATTATTAAAAAATCAACCAACCAAAAATAAGACAAGCTCATTCACAGCAATTTCACATATTTAAACTTTAATATTTTTAAAAAGTTAGAAAGGCCTACTAGTTTCAGAAAGATAAATAAATTTACCTTTCTAATAGCACTAGGATCACTTCAGAATAATTAAACAGGCCCATATTTAGAAATATTGCCTAATTTGGCCACAACTCCATTTCTGGAAAGAAATGTGCTAGTGCATATTGCTTGACACAACACGTTTCCTTTACTTCAAATGTTTCCTTTTATTTCTTTAGGCTCATGTATATTAAAGGGATAAAGACATCCATGTTAAGTGCAGAAACAATTAGGCTCCATTACAGAGGTACAGGATAAAATCATCTTCTAATATCAAGGATTCTCTGTAAAACTCTTCTTCACATCCTTTCTTCCTTTCTTTTCCCTCTTTCCATGCATACCCATGTCTGCTTAGACTGGCTGAGCTGAACAAAATCTATCAAACACATATAGAACTATTACAAAAAAGGATCAGAACTCCCAGACTCACAGAGGCTTCAATACATAAGCTGTGCCAACAGTAAACATGCGTGCAGTCAGCACTGACTTTCTCTTACCTGCCAGTTTACATTTTGCAGCTTGAAAAGGAAGTGATCTGAATTGTTTCTGTAGTCTGCACACACTGTTGCTTTCAACAAATTCACTGAAGCCATGATCAACATAGTATACCTGAGAAGGGAAAAGGGAATTAAAAGCACAAGATCATGAATATAATTTAAAGTATGTTTCCTTGAGTCTAGGGAGACTATCTGGTTGCCACATTCTCTAATACAACCACAGACAAATTACTTTTTGCCAGTTTAGTACCGTTAATTTCATGTTTTCAGGGAAAGCCTCCTTCTCAAGATGTGTATAACATCCTCTCCAACTGTTCTGCAGAATCTGAACTTCAAACAGGAACTTTGCTGCAAGAATTCAGCATATACTATCTCAAACTATGCGAAGAAAGGTAATGAAGTCACAATTTTTACTCACAAAGTTTTGAAAGTGTTCAAAAGTCAAATACTACTTAGGTGCCATTTTAAGTTTTGCCTACTGTTTTTACAGCATTAAGAGAATAATTTTGATTTAAACTTGTTGTTACTTTGATACAAATACCACAGTCAATTCAGGAAACTAGAACAGAAACTACTACTGGCAGCAAATAACTGGAGCTGAAGTTACAGAAGGAAGGCTTTGATGGGACTTCCTAGAACTTTCTTCTGAAACTCTATCTTGCAAAATATTTCCAAAGCAAATATTAAAAAGGAGGTCTAAACACTGTGACAAAGGAAAATCAGCAAAAGCTGCAATAAAGCAGCAGCCTTCTCTGGACTGATAGCTCTGACTAGGGGAGAAATTAGAAACAAGCATGCCGCTAATTTTCTTGCCACTTCTCTAAACCCAACAAGACCTCTCTTTCAGAAGACCAAGTTTTGACATCCAACTCCAATTCACAGCTGAAAGGTTTCATACTAACTTTCAGAAAAAACTCAGTTCTAATACATGTGCTATTTCAGTATTTATAAAATGGTTCAACTTTAAAAGTATGTTAAGCAGGGCTGGGGAAAGAAACAAAAACGTTAAAGATGTATCATTAATACTGATTAGACAAGAAATAACTGAGCAGTATTAAACTTTTTTTTATCCTTCTAATATACATTCTAACTTCACTGCAGATGGCAAGAAAACTCTGTTCAGCACAGGAAAATTTTTTAACAGAGGAGTTAAATAATGTGAATGGAGTTTAACTAAAATACATAACTCCCAAAACACCAGATTTTCCTGGAAGGGGAAAGTATACTCTGTTTTTGTGGGGTTTTTTTTGCTATTTAGTGCATATTAGAGATACTTCAGTACAAGACTTCGAGCAAGATCTACGAGCAAATGAATGTTGTCCTTCCCTTCCTCTTCCTATGTTTCTCTCAAACCATTCCTCTTACCAAGGTACATTTTCAGTACCAAAGTGCTATAGGGCCTAGTTCCTTTTAAAACCAAAACCAAAACTCCCAAAGTCAAACTATTCATGGAGAAAAACCTGAAAGACCATTTAATTTTGTCAATCATATGACTTCTACAAGGTCTTAATTTCTCATATACCTGAAAATAGAAGCACTTTGGGGCAAGAAAAGAAAGAGTACTAATACAGCATATTTAAGACTTGACTGTATATCTAAAAAACAAGCTTGTCTCAATTCTTTCACCAAGTGCCAGAGGAGGTAATTACTTGCCTTCACTCTGTTGTCCTCCAGAGAAATTATCCGTGCACGCAACCAGGCATCTTCTTCAGCATGTACTGCAACAAGCTGCCCAACACTCAGAGACTGAGCTGATGACACTGTACTGGTCTGATTGTAGTATGCTTTCATTTCATCTTCCATTTGTTCCTGGGCAGAAGAATACTCTTTGCCCACATACCTACAATATTTTACAAAAAAAAAAAACCCCAAAACAAACAAAAAAAAAAAAAAACCAACAAGAGTTGGGATGCAACTTCAAAAAAGCTGAATAAAAACATACGAACATTTACATGCGTATATGAATAAATTATATACATTTTCTAAGACATTCATGTCCAAACTCTTAGCTTTTTAGGACAAAAAAGTTACCCTGTCACTAACAAACACCATCTCAATCTGGTTTTCAGTACATTTGATCTAAACTAAAGCAACTAAAGTGTCTTTAAAAATTAGCTGTTAAACCAAGTGCTGTTTTCTCTCATACAACAGTTTTATCTTGGTATTTGGCTGCTGACCGAATGTTCATATTAATGCTGTTTGTGCTACACAGGTCTTCTTAAATCAAGTATATAAACTTTCTGGAAAATCTAAATGGGAAGTTCTGAATGCTTCAGAAACAAATCAGATTAGAGCAGACAAAAGGAAAACCTACCCACAAATTTGTATTACTAGCTACTGTTTCAGCTTGTTCATAAAGATCATGATTTTACTAAATTCTACTGCATAATTTAGATTATATGCAGATAGTGTAATGCAACATGGTATGATAACTCTGTTGCAAACATTATGTTAAATCTGACCACACTCCAGGGAACTCTGATTTTCCTAGAAACAGCCTTTTTGTTTCTGTGCAACCATTCATCTACTTCGTAATGGAGATAAAGTGCGACGACAGTCATGCATGCGTGACTTAAAAGTTTCTTGAACATTTGTTTCATAAAGACACCTAACAGACAGTCAGAGTAACTCAACTGAAAGCAGAAGAATCTTTCAGAATTTCCTGCTTCACTCCCTATTTTATTAATTATTTCTTGTAAGAGTTCAACTGCAGTACCTAGTGTATCATCTCTTCCTTCAAACACCCTGCTGTGAATGTCTAGCAAATATCTAGGAGTGTTTCTATCTATCTCTCTATCATGACTACATTACAATTCTTTGAGAACTGATCCATGTCTCAAAACAGAAACAGCATCAAAACCAGCACCTTTCAGCATTGCCTTCATTTGTACTGCAAGTGAAAGGTTTCAGACAAAAAGCTTAGCCACATACCAAGAAAGTAAAGAGATATTGCTCCATCCCTGAGATTGAGTTAGGAATCTTGATTTTATTGATCCTACAAAAATCAACATCAACCAACACCAGCCACATAGTTCTTGTGTAGGTCAGCAGAGAGGCTGGTAGGACATGTGAGAAAAGAAGAGCCCATGCACTATTTCCTCTCTATATGTCTACATGAACATTTTCTTGTCATGGCAAAAGACCCTAATCCCTTCAGGGCTAGTTTCATCATATCAGGATAAATGGCCCTGCCCGTGAAGTACATGGATAACTCTGAGTAGTAATTTTTGTAACTAGGACCAAGAAAACACTAATTATCATCATGTACCTACACAGAACTGACAAAATGAGAAACTTCAATACTGTCCAAGAAACATGGCTCAAATTTGGGAACAGCTGCTTTGTAGAGAAATTTTTACATAACCATCCTCAGCTCAATGTCATATGGTATTTTAATCCACAGTACTCAAAGTATTAATCTGAAATACTTAGGGGAAACATCCTTAAAACAACAGACTAGAAAGCTAAGAACCATTACTCCACATGGACAGTAAGTTAAAAATGATGCCAGAACTAAAAGGTGCACAGAAACGTTTTGTAGAGTTAAGTCACATGTGCACAGCAGGCTGTTAGTAACAGATGTAATGTAACAATCCACCTCTTACACTGTCCCCTTAGACCAGGCTGATTAGGAACCAAATCAAGAAACACTAGTAGTTTTTTGCTGGATGAATGCTCATCTTTCCATAAGTAGAATCTGAGTGCACTCAAGTCATGCCTAGTTAGTGTAAGGTATAGAAGCAAAAAGTATTTTAATAAGCACAATAGTGATATCAGAATACTGTTTTGTGTTATAGTGGGATTATTTTATAAAATCTTCCAATTGCAAGTCAAATCTGCCTTGATTCTCAGACACATTAAAGCTAATGATAAAAGTGATTGATTCAGGATAGAGAAAGTTTCAGAAAATTTCCATTTAAACACACAAACAAAAGGATTTAAAGTTTTCATTAGCAAAATAAGTAAATAATAAAATCCTGAAACCTCCTGTTCATCTATTTTTTTCTGGCAACCTGCACAATATGAACATGTGGATTTATAAATAAAGCAAAAAAGGAAGATTCCAAAATATAAACTTGCCTAATCAGGACCTCATTAGTGTTTTTCAATTCTAACACCATGATGGACACAGATCCTTCTGATGGAATAATTAGAGAAGGAACAGTTATGTTTTCTAGGTACTGGTCCTTGGATTCTTCATACTTCTGTTCAGCTGTGGCCTTCACACTATCATGCCTCTTGACTTTCTCAGTGACATTCAGATTTTCATCAATGCATTTCTGGGGTTTAGCATAGAGGATCGCCTTTCTGGGGACTTCAGATACGTAGTCCACAACACATACATCTGCCAGCAACTCTAGATTATTTAGAATGTCTTCTGGGAATTTTACTTGGTAAGTGTCTTGGTACACTTTGGGAAGTGCATGAGCCCAAAGACCATTGGAATACTTCAGCAAGATGCCAACGACTTTTGCTTTGAAGTCGCTACTGAGTGATGCAGGTGTGGTCTCCATATTTGGCTTTAACAAAGGGTCTGCTTTTGGTGAAGTAACATTCTGAGATGCCTTTTCTTGCTCAGCATCGCTTTTTGCTGCTGGTGGTATTTTCTTAGCAGGATAAACAAATCCATCTATTGGATCACCTCTGTGTATTTTCTCCACCTTGGAAAACAACAAAGAGAATCAATAATCAATTGTATTTGTAACACGAAATTGTTTTGTCGACTACACTTTTATAATATGCATTTTATACAGACTTTGAAGAGAACATCCACAGGGAGCTAAGCTTGAGGCAGTTACTACAGGTTAGCATTTCCTGTAATGTTTCCTCCTCTGTTTTGAAGGCTTCCAAACACATATGAGTACATCAGTAGTAGGCAAACATCTATCTATGCAATACAACTGGGACTTGCTTCCAAAGAAGTACAGTCTCTCTTTCCTCCTAGCAGGACCAGGAGATGGTGACACCCTTCACAAATTTACATCTTTTCCACGTTAATCTTCCCCACAGGCAAGCAGATCATAAGCAAAAGTATCTCTCAGTTTTCTGAGGGAAAGAAGATTTGACCCTATACTTCAGAAACAAGAGGACACTTGCCAGGCAGTGCTGTCAGGCAGGCTATCTGCTGTCATGCTCAGAGAATTAGTTTTCTTTACAAAAGTTCTGAAATCAAGGAAGAAATTTCTGCTTCGTAATGAATTTCATAACAAAATTGATTAGACCCTTTTAAATCATGGCACCAGCTTCCTTCAGAACCAGGTATTTTGCCAGTCCCTACATATTCGCCCTTTGCTATAAGCTTATCACAGAGGCACAACATTGAAAGTACTGTTTGAGAACTGTAGCCATAAACTCACAATAAAATTCTGCTTCCTAAAGCTTTGCAGTTTCACAGTTTCAACCTAGATTGATCTAACCATACCTTAGCAGGAGTCCATGTAAAATTGAGATAACAAAAGGTCTTAGTGTTTTTGCACTGGTCCCAAAGCAAGAAAAACAAAGAAAGTTACTAAGCAAGGTTTATGTAGCTCTACTTTGGAGTTCCTTTGTCAGAGGAAACAACTCTAATCAAAGTAATTTTCAAAAGCACATCAATGAAAAAACATGGAGCAGCTGAATTACTTGCTACTACTCAGGGGTAGCATTCACCTCCACCCTATTTTTGTCCACACCCATCAGAACTTTATATACCTTGCACAACTAATTATTTGCAGCTCTGTCCTAGCAACATACAATCAAAGCATAATGAACAAAACTCCAGGTATTTTCTTACAGAAAAAGAATAACACATATCACTCATTAGCAAGAAACAAATACTGAGTTACAATTATTACTGAAAAATAATCAAATGGCCTTTGCTGTGTCTAGAATAATGTATTTTGTCCCATGTATATCACATCACACTTAGCCCAAATTGCCACATGGTCTGAATTAAGAGTCAGGAAATGAACTATATAAGTGCATTTCTCTAGACTTGCTCTGCATTACACTGTCTAGGCTGGCACCAAAACAATCTGTGAAAAGGTTATCGGGAAGAGGCCTTGGTCAACTTCCAAGCACTTCCATGAGCACTAGCATGACACAAAGAAAATAATTTTCATAGATATAAAAAAAAAATATTAACCATGTTAGAGAACTCTCACACGTTCTTGGTAGCATGCCTAAATTATTCTCTATCAGTGAAAAACCAAAATAGAAATATTTTCTGCAAGAATAAGACATGAGAAAGCAAAGTTCTTGGGCATCTCTGCTAGTCAGCTTAATATAAGAGACAATAAACATGTCTGGCAGTAAAACCTAGAAGGACCGAGATGCCCTCAATGATTCCTGACAGAGAGCATCTATATTTGTACCCTCTGATATGAGGAATCTTACAGTGCCCCTTGCACCATAGGAGAAGAAAGGAGTTCAGGTAAAAATAACACCAAACCAAAAATTATCAAAGTCTTGCAAAGGCTTTGATACATGGTCAGGAGACCTAAGTATATCAAGTCACACAGACAAAAAAATCAGAGCATGCCATTTTGACAGATAATCATATCCTAGATGGAGAGGAATTGATAAGGATGTCCCATGTGTTCAAGGACAAGGCTGAGGAATTCATTTACATGACCAGCCAAGGAAAACCTTTAGATCCAGAAAATACTTAACATTATCAAGACAACAATTTGTTTGAGAATGCTGTGTTGGACTATATGGCAGTTCATCCTGGAAGAAGCTGGATGCAAAGGTCTACCTTTATGTATCCCTTCTCTTGGCTAGTGCTCTTTAAATAGAGCTGCAACACAGCTGAATAAATTTTTGCTGACAGGACTATAAACCCTTACACAGTAGACCAGCAGCAGACTGAGGAGAGAAGATCCTCAAAGATCTTTAAGCCTCTTAACTCCAATAATAGCTCTGGGGTTTTCTAGACACTGAAGTTCAGTTTTGAAGACGCTGTATATCCTAACTGCGCAAACCATTTAGAGACAGCAAAATGCTATTTTCAGTAAATTGTTTCAGATTACTTCAGTATAAATAAGCACAGGCTGACATCACTAGAATCACAGAATCATAGAATATTCTGAGTCAGAAGAAACCCACAAGAATCACTGAGTCCAAATCCTGGCCCTACACAGGACATCTCCAGGAATCACATCACCTTCAAGGCCACAAAAATTTCTCATAACAAGCAAATGGCTCCACTTGTGAGCAGCACTTCAAAACAGACACCCTTTCTTAAGCACAAATGTCTCAACCAAGTTTCCTGTTGAGCTTACAGATTTACCTTCAAGGTACTCCCCATTAGTATGGCTGACACCCCAGCTCTGCAAGCACATTATTATACTGGGAGGTACTGAGAGACACCTGAAAGACAATGTAGCCATTTGTCACAGCCAGCACAGGTTCATGAGGATAAACTCCTGCTTGTCAAACTTAATTTCATTTTATGACAAGACAGATAACCCATCTAGCTGATCCAGTGGATATAACCTTTTCGGTTCCAGTAAAGCCTTCCATACTGGTTCTCACAGCATCCTTCTGGACAAAACATCCAGCACACACCTGGGTGAACACATCACATGATGGGGTTCCACAGGGCTCCATCTCAGCCCTGAGCTCCTCAACAGGTTCACAAATGACTTGGATACTTAGTAACCCTGGGAAGGAGTACTAAGCAAGTTCACAGAAGATAAAAAACTGGGAGGAAGGCCTTGCAGACTGACCTTGATCAATTAGAGGGCTGGGCAACCACCTACAGTATGAAGTTCAACAAGGGGAAGTGCTGGATTGTACACTTGGGATGGGGCAACCCTGGAAGTGTGTATAGACTGGGGAACAAGAGACTGGAGCACAGCTCCATGGAATGGGAGCTGGGGGTCCTGGTTCATGTCAAGTTGAACGTGAGCCAGCAGTGCCCTGGCAGCCAGGAGGGCCACCCGTGTGCTGGGGGCATCAGGCACAGCATCACAGCCAGGCAAGGGAGGGGACTGTCCTGCTCTGCTCTGGGGCAGCCTCACCTTGAGTGCTAGGGGCAGTTCTGGGTGCCACAATGGAAAAAAGGCATTGAGCTGTTAGAGAGCATCCAAACGAGGACAATGAAGGTAGAAAAGGCCTCACGTGAAGGCCATATGAGGAGTGGCTGAGGTAATTTGGTCTGTTCATCCTGGAGAAGAAGAAACTGAGTTGCAGTTACAACTTCCTTGAAGGAAGGGGAAGAGGAGCAGCAGGCACTGATCTCTTCACTCTGGTGACAGTCACAGGACCAGAGGGAATGGTCTGAAGTTGTGTCAGGGGAGGTTTAGGTTGGATATCAGGAAAAATCTTTTTCAGCCAGAGGATGGTTTTACCACTAGAATAGGCTCCCCAGGGAAGTGGTCAGAGCACTATCCCTGACAGAGCTCAAAAAGCACTTAGACAACACTCTCAGGCACATGGTGTGTTTCTTGGGGATGCCTTGTACTGGGCTAAGACTTGTATTTAATGATCCTTGTGGGTCCCTTACAATTCAGAATATTCTGTGATTCTGTGACCTTGCCCCTTATCATCTCTCCATTACACAGCACAAAACAGAGACAACAGCTGGCAGAATGAATTATCAGGGCAACAGAGAGTGAAGCCGTTCTACACAGGAGAATAATATTTTTTTCCTGGGCTTGAATAACAGAGGCAGCTCTTAAAAACTGAAATCTGAAGACTCAAATAATAAAACTTCAAATAAAAAAATACTCCCAAGATAAATACTGACACTGCAACTGAATGAAATGCAAAAGAGCAAGTCCCCTTGTTTTGACATACACATATAGCAAGGACAAAAGCAGACATGCTCCTGTATTGGCAGGACAAAATCTTTGCATAAATATGCTTGACAACATTTGAAAAAACCACTGACAAACATATAGAAACTAAAGAAAGTATCCACTTTGCAATGCCAGCCCTAATTAATTGTGTGTACAGTGATAGTCATATATTGGTAACCTCCTGGAGCATCAACAGGATGTTTCCAAGAAGGAACTGGAGACAACACATCCTTGAAATGAGAGTTTCTAGTCAGAGTAGATGTTTTTCAATTTCAATGTTACATTCAAACTAGCATATGCAGGTATTTTCTGCTATTCTCCTGCAAGGTAAGAAAAGAAAAGAAAACCTGCAAAGGAAGTTTGCATTTAATGTCAGTGACAGAGTCTCATCAGAAGTCTGGCTCTATGGTTTTTAGTATCCAACAGGTTCTCAAAGACGACTCTAAAATACAAATCAGAACTATCACTCTGATTCATTGAGAAGAATTCTTCAGAAATGTGGTGCAGGAGTTTTTCAGATCTGATTTAAATATGCAACATGGAAGCTCAACCACCACAGCATACATACCAGAGACTGTACACAGAAACATTTTAGTGACAGGCACCTTAGAAAAGCACTTCAGTGTGAAGGCAGCTCTCATCTACCTGACTTTCCTCACAATACGTGAAGTTAAACTCCCAGAAAGCTGGAGCTGAAAGCAGCAAGGAAAGTATTTCTGGCCTTGATCAGCACTACCTGACATCTACACATTGGCTGACAGCACTTCTCTGTCATTGGCAGCCACCACAACTTCAGGTCCCACTGGTTTTGCCCATCCCTCTACAGTACAGGTCTCCCCAGGCAATGGTGAGATGCTGCTTCAACATTAGCATTCAAC